TTGCAAAAATATCCCAACTTTGCACACAAGGGTTAAAATTAGATTTTTAAAAAAGTATGCCTACATTCATTGAGTAACTGCAGTGACTGGGGAAAAATCATTTCCACAGATAATGATTCAAATAATGAGATTCACTGTATTGTCTGTTTAGTGTATTATAATAATTGGATGAAAAATTGGACAGACCAAGACCTGATTACAGCCTTTGTAACAGTAAGAGTCCCGTTTTGGGAACGGGTTTTCCCGTTTGTTTTTATTTCCGCCACGGGCGGAAGTGGATGAGTATATACCCTTTATCTCCCCCAGTTAACTCACACAAGTTCTCAAGAATTTTACAGTGAATGTGTTTGTTGACTGCCTGCCATGGTATGGATTTCCAAAACAAGGTCAGAGTGAGGGGGGATCCCTTTTTGCAACCTTGACCCAGCGACAATTTTTCCGGAAATGACCTCGAAAAAACGAAGCATTGACCTGAGTCATAGGCGTGAATCGATGAACCGAATTATTGCTGGGCAATTCCCACAGCAGTGTGTTTTTTTCTTTCGTGTTTTTGTATATAAATGCTGTCGAGTATTTTGATGCTGGCTTCAGTTTGCTGACGAGTTTCTTCTGACAAGTCGATGGAAAAATAGAAACGTCGTGTTGTTTATATTTACTGGGGATTTTCCAGAAACTGTGATAGTTGTTGGAAAATGACTCACCCGTGACAAATAAGGTGTGCATCACCTGCGAAGGTGTAATCGAACGTAATAATGATAGAAAATGTTCTTGTTCAAGCATTTTTGTGTTATAATTTATCTTTCCATTCAGGAACAAACAAATTTATTTTCAATTTCTAGATCATCAGCCCTGCAATAGAATTTCAAAATATGAAACCAAACAACAAAGCTCAATTGAATGCATGTCATTTTTGCAAAGTTGGGATATTTTCACAAAATGTTGTGCCCCATGAGAATTTTTTAAATCATATTTTTGAACCAAGGCCCAAGTTGGGAAAAATTGCAATACATTTTTCTAATTGTGTGGAAAATTCTGCCAGAAAAAAAAATACATTAAAAATTCCTCACTGGGTAGCTTATTTTTTGTGCATTTCTAGCATAGGATTAATTTTGAAGATTTCTTTTGAAAATAAGTGTTAATTGACAGGTTTGATTGTAGATTTATCTCATTCTGTAAGATACAGTATTGGATCTGATTTTTAATCACAAAAAATCTTATACCTCAAAATTCCAACAGCTTGAAACACTATTTTGGTTTGGTATAAGTGACCTTCATAATTCCAGTTTTTATGTCAGGTCTGTATTTAAAATTTAAGTTTTTGCAGATTATGAATCCCCTTGGTTTTCCTCCTTATTGATTTAATATTCAATACTATTGTATATACCGTATTTACTTGAGTACCATAATGCGCCCTCAATAAGTAAGGCCCGCCTGCACAGGGGTTTTTCAGTTGGAAATTTGGCTGAAATCTTATCCCCAAGTAAGATGTGTACCCCAATTTTTAGTGAATTTAAAACCACAAAATTTCAGAAATAAAACAAAAAATTGACTTTATAGGCATGAATTGAACAAAAAACTGATCAATTCTCAACTTTTTCAGTGCAAAAAAGTTTTCTTGTTACATTTTTCCCAAATTTCTCCATCATAAATAAGTATAATGCACACATAACTTCCTAAAACTTCTTGAAAAAGTTGTACCTGCTTATGATGCGCACCCCTCTTTTTCTTCTGAAATTTGAGAAAAAAGGTGCGCATGGTACTTGAGTAATTACGGTAATTTGCAGCAATGAAAAAAATGACACTTGGGGGGTTTTCGTTGGAAAATAAGGAAACCTCTTGGATTTGGTCAAATTTCAAAGCAAAGCACAAAAACTTGAATTTTAAAAAAAGTTTGAAAAAAGGCCGCATAAGTTTCAAGTTTCTTGAAGGAAAATGAGTAAAAAATTATTACGAGACAACAACAACAAAAACTCTGTTCACAGCTATAAAAAAATTTCCCAGTGTCATTTTAAAAGAGTACTCGCAGTTCAGTATACACATCAGCCAGCGTTTTCAGTACTTCAGCAGTCATCCTTGTGTTTGTGTGTCTGTGACGATGACGTCAGTCCGTGAAATCTTCCTTCGAACTTTCGCTTTCATCCTCACGTTTTGAAAGCACCTTATATATTGAAAACATAAACGCAGTCGTCAGTCTCTTCTCTTATTCTCCGTTTCTCGTGGAAAAAAAATGTTGAGTGAATTCAAAAGTCATCTTTCACGCAATAAAAAACGAATTGAAACGAGTGAAAACATTTTTATTTACCTAGACGAGCAGCGTCACAAAATGGAATTTGCAACGAAAAGACAATTTGATTTTCCATATTATCTAATTTCATATTTACGAATGAATTTTGGAGAGATCCTCGAATAAAATTGCACAATAATACCGTAAAAAATGTGTCATCCTGTAACAAAAAGGCGAATAAAAACATGAAAATCGAGTCTTTCATTATACGGTATTTCAGTCGTTCGATCAGATTTAATCAAAATACGAAGTTCAACGAAAAAAAACCCACTTAAATACGTTGAAAAAAAAATTTTGAGCATTTTTGAAATTGAATTCGGAGAGATAACGTGTGAAAAAAGAATCATTATCATGCCTCGTGAAAAAAGCATAAAAACAAAAAAATCCTTTTCCATTTTTACTGATGTCAAGCAGCTCCTAAACATACGCAGTCCAACGGAAATACAGTTTTTTGATTTCAACAAATTTAATTTAAACCCTTAAAATTTGAATTAAAAGAGAAGTTTATGGAAAAAAATCATCATTTCGCACCCAAAAAATGAGAAAATCGAGTCTTCCATTGTACTATGCTGACCATGTTCCTCAAAATAGGAAATCAAAATTTGAAAGATATTCTAATACTCGATTTCATAAAAATTATTTTCAAACGAATTCAAAGAAATATCAAAAGAAAGCTGATAAACAGGCGAGAAAATCGTTTCTCTCACTTTTACTGACAAGCATGCAGCTCTAAAAAATAAAGAATCAAAATGCAAGAAGGACTGCGATATTCTGTGGTTTTTTTTTATAAAGAAATTTTTTTCAAATGAATCCAAAGAAATCTTCAAAACGAAAATGATACATAGACGAAAAAATCAGGTCTTTCCTTTTAATGACGATAGCAGCTCCTGAAAAGCACACAGTCTGTAAAAACACACACTGATGATTAGAGACGCTTGTTCCATTCCCAACAATAATTTTAGTATTGATACCGTATTTAAAATTTCAATTTCTAGAGATATCTTGAAACACAAATTGTCAAGTCAGTCGGTGAGAACGATGAGGAAGGTGCTTGTGTCAACGACGTATATATAATATCCGCGTCTGTCTTTCTTTCTCGGGTGCATTAATCAGATGAGTGACCATAGGATCGTTGTCACCCTCGGGGCACCCATCAGTTGTGGGTCAAGCTCAAGCCAGAGTTCATCTCCCATCCAATAAGCTCTCTTTATGTTATCCTTTATAAAATAATTCTATATGTATAGTGTCCCTCAAACCAGCTCTCAATGTGAGATTATATTTTTAAAATTTGAATTGAGAAAACTCCATGTTTGATTAAAATAATGTACTCTTGATACAGGTGGAACCATGCAATTTGACCCTTAATCCATTGCAATTTCAAAATGGTTAACTCGTAAAACACTCCATAAAATCAAGGGCAAACAGCACAAAAACAATGCTAAAGAATCTTAATCAGGTCAAATTTTGGGAAAGAGGTCAAATTGTAAGTCAACCTGCTCCAAGCTAATTTGACTGTCAAATTGCAGGATGGTCAAATTGAGGAAGGTTAAATTGCAAGTTACAACCTGCATATATAAACACCTGGCAACTTGCTGAAAATCTGAAAGCAAGATTTTTTAAATGCCAAAAACTCTTTTGCATAAGTTGGTTATAAAATTGCACCACGTGCAATGTGATCTGGTTTTACAAGAAATGGTTTCTGTGGAATTATTGATGCATTATTTAGGTTGAAGTACTTCAAGATTTGATTTTTCTTTGAAGTTCTAAAGTGGTGAAACTGTTATTGAAGTGAATTGAGCAAGAAAATTGCAGTGAACTTCATTGCACAAAAATTGGGGCCAAACAGTGATGTATCTTTCCTTTGACAAACAGCATCCTGTTGACTCATTTATCTGACACATATTAAGCCTTTGGATATCATCAATTTTATCTTCCTGCAATACAGTGAGACCTTCACATGCAGACACATTGACATATGCAGACAATTTGACTAAGGGACATAAATTTTTTCAATGAAAAAGCATAAAAAAGGCCTGAAATGTGGAAACTGACTCAAACAGTGAACATAGCATGCCAAAATTGCAAATCAGTTTCAGGAAAAGTGACTTTTACCAGGCTGAATTGCAGGAAACAGATATTCTGAAATCTAAGATCTATGTACAAGAAAAATTCTTTTGTATTTTTCACATCCTTTTCCCATTTTTTCAGCTAATTAAAAAAATTACCTCCAGCATAGAGGGACTTTCTCCTCTCTTTATTGTGACTTGAATGCTTTTTTACAGATGCCAAAATTTCAAACAGAGGAGTATTATTCAATGCTCCAAATGCTCTTATGGAGTTTAAAGATACTTATGGAATCAAATTCAATTATAAAAATTTTTTTTCACACAATTCTGATGAATAATTCTTCCATAAAACACCAATTAAAAATTATATAATGTGAGTCTATTGGAAAAGTGACTTTGACTTAGGGATATTTCAACTTATGGACACTCCTGATGCACCAATCATGACTGCATCTTTGGGTCTCACTTTCAATTTTTTTCCCAGCAAAAATGCAGGTTTCCTGAATTCAAAACTTTCTAAATCAAATTTTGTTTCTTGGTCAAGCTCAACTTAAAGAAGGTTGGCTGATGTTTGTACAAAACATAATGAGTCTTGCAAAGAGTGGTGAAATTCCAAAAAAATAAAACGGTTTTGATGAATGAAACTTTGCATGCAGAATTTTCCGCAGGTCAAATAATATTAGCAGAAAATATGTGGGGCTGTTCATCAGCACGCCGTACTGGTAATAATGTGGATTGGGGCAAAGCGACCGTCATTGCGGCGTGTTTGTCGACAGTGATTTTCGCAGTGTCGAGTGTCGTCGATTCTGCGGGGCAACGGGGTGGAATGCGACGTCGATCCTCGTCATCGTCGTCGAAATTATTGCCTGACGACCTCGTCGACAGGGACTTGTTCGAGTGTCGCAGTTCGGCGGACTGCGGATTCGGATTTTGTTGCGTCGTCGGTGCGTTTCTCAAAATTTAATTCATATAACCGCATAATAAATAAACTTGTAATTGCAATTTTTAGTGATCCTTGCACGAAGAAAAACACACTTTTTGAAAATCAGTAGACTCAATTTTGACGAGAGAGTATTTTTGAAAAATTTCGAAATCATCCGAGCAACACTTGAGAAAAACTAAATTCTTTCGATAACTAATTCTTTCAACTTCGATTTCATCTGGAAATTTTTGAAAATAACTTTGAAAAGAAATGAAGCTCGGTTTCATTAACTTCAGTAACAAAATAATTTGGAAATATTTTCAATAAATGAATCCCGAAAATCAGAAATATTCCTTTCGAACAAAAATTCGATCAGCAACGTTATTTTTGGAGTTGATCCAAGTCGAAACTTTTCGAAAAATCAGAGCTTCCTTTTTTCATTTTATAATTTTTTTCAAGAATGAATAAATAAAGGGAAACAATTCCACCTTAAATTTCCTTCAGCTAGATTTTGAATCGCAAAAGCGCATTTCCAATATAATCTCTAATTTGATTATATGCAGAAACGCAACAATTTTTGAAAAAAAATGTGAATCTTTTCGATGAAATAATCATCAGATTTTTTCCCGCCATTTCAAAAGATTCCATTTTGACAAAAGTCTCAACTTGCATTTCCTCCGTATATTTCAAAACAAAAATGATTAACACGGATTCGAGCAACACTTCCGGGATCAAATCGATATTCATCCTTCAAAAATTTTTCGAAGAAGAAAGAAAGCCAGCTATTTTTGGAACCGAAACCAGTTGCAAATTTATGCGACGGCTTCGGATTTTATCATTCCAACGTATCGAAAACCTCGTCCGAAACAGAAAACTATTTACGACTTCGATTTCCTCTGGGATATTTCATAGTCAACATTACCTATATACACTAATTCAAAACGAAATACGATCTGGCTTTCACAGGATGATTTTCAGCTCGAAATAGAGTTTCGTGGAGCATTTTATCGTTTGACGGAGAGGAAATATATACTGACGAAATTTCCGGGTAATATATAAAGAAAAAACAACGTATTGTTCTATTCACAGACCGGATTTTTTCTTCGCAGAAAATGTTGAAAGGCCTTGCATCATGATCGGAAAGTGAAGAGACTTTTTTGTTATTCTCGATGCATTTTTTGTCGCCAAATTTTCTGAATTTTTTCAGACTTTTCTGTTGCAGTTTTTATATAACTTACTTATTTTGTATACTTTGTCTTCTGTGTGCAGTTATTACCTGCATTATTTATCATATGATTATAAACCCTGTGATCTTGCAAAAATAAAAATATATATTTCTTTTCATGTGTTCATGACATCTATTCACAGACCGGATTTTTTCTTCGCAGAAAATGTTGAAAGGCCTTGCATCATGATCGGAAAGTGAAGAGACTTTTTTGTTATTCTCGATGCATTTTTTGTCGCCAAATTTTCTGAATTTTTTCTGAAGAATGCCGCCTCGAAGAATGCGAAGATTTTCAAAAGTGGCCAAGTTAGAGGAAATTATCGCGTTTACTGAGAAAAATTCCGTTTTGAAGGACTCCCGAATGGGAAAGTGTTTTTTTTTTTGTGGAAGTAAGTTGAAACGAGAATTAGTTTCAAAACTTGCAGCACTAGCTGTAACGGATTTAGCCTGTTCATGCGAAAATGAAAGATTTTCACTGAATAATCGAAGGAAATGATTAACTAATTTTGATATTGCTGATGATGATCGAATACCTCGAAGGAATCATCACTTTTCAAGTATTTTAAAATTTCGATGTTTTTAATTAATAAGGCACTAATTTAATCACATGAGATTGTATAAACACCAGATGCACATAGACTAAATACTGAATTACTGAATAATGCATTTTTCTTCATCTTAGTTCTAGAAATAGTTATCAGCAATTAATTAGCTATAATATGCATTCAGCTTTTTAACATTTAAATCTTGCATCTGTTTTCATCCAGTGAATACCCTTTTTAAAACTACTTCTTGAGGCAAGAAACAAAAAAATTACGTTTAGGTTTGTTGTATGGGAAATGCTTCCATCTGTTCAACACATTGTGTTTGAATGGAGCATTTTTCATTCAACTGTGAAAATTGTTTTTTAAAAATCGCCTGTACAGTATTTAGAACTGTTTTCCTGTATCTCAGGTAACATTTTCAGAGGCATCCTATGTTGGTTTGTTCCTCAGGTTTTTGTCTTTACTTTACAAGAAATTACAGTTGCAAGTGGTGCCCTGCAATTTGACCCCAAACAATTGTCAAATGAGCGTTGAATTGTGAAGTGGTCAAATTGTGAGATAATTTCAAATTTGGTGTTTTTTAAAAATTGAATTTGGCATTATGAGTCTCTCAGCCAGTCATATTATGGGTTGAGAGGTCAAATTGCAAGTTGACATTCCAGCAAATTTTACCATTGAATGGCACAATGGTCAAATCGCAAGGTTCCACCTGTATTTTGTGATAATTCATCTCAACATTCTACAGCATGCTTCATATTGTCTTAAAATGTTCAATGTATGTATATTTTTTCAGGCATATTCCATCAATTAGCATTTTTTAGAGAATAAACTACAGAATAAATGGATTTTGGCTGGGTGGGAATCTTGATTGAACCATGTGAACGCTGAAACGCAGCAAATAAAGTGTTCTGTTCATTCATTCATTGATTCAGAATAAATGCTCAAAATTTGGAAATCATTAACAGAAAAAAATAATGTTAATTATTGTGAACTGTGACCCAATAAATTACATGAACTGATACAAAAACATTCAGGAACACATTTTTGAATGGTGAATATAAAATAAATCCAATATGCATAAAACGTTACATGGAAAGAGTTAAATTACAGAAATTTAAATTCAGTTTCATATTTTCATTTAACTGAAAACTCTTCTAGTGAATTGAAAATAAAAGCAAGTGTTGGGGACTGCAGTTCCAGGAAATGATTTGATTGATTAATAATCCTCTCAGATCCCATCCTACAGAAACTGATGCTAAGGCTTATATAGAAAGGCCAGCACCAAAGAACAAATCCCAAAGGACTTGTACAACAATGAACAGCATCATCTTTGATTTGAAAGAAATTAGCCAATGGAAAGATCAGAAAAACCTGCTTCAACAAAACCACATTCCTCTTTCCCCTTCTTTTCCTCCCAAAAGCTGAAACACAGAATTCATTCCACTGCAAATTCTTAAGCTGCTCAGAGTTTAAAACCTTACATTGATTATTCTTGAAGGACTTTGTGTGATTATGATTGTGTGTGTGTGTCACTCAAGATTCACTGAGTTTATTAATTCTTTTTTAGGACATCAATGCTTGTGCGGCACAGTTGGGATAATTTTGCAATGTTTTGTCCACATGAGGGCTGCAAATTAAAAAAAAAAATGTTTGAGCCAAGGCCTAAGCCAGGAAGAAGTTATTTTTTCAATCCTGCAGAAAATGTTGGCTAAAAAATAAAAAAATTCTTCCCTGCATGTGTGATGTTTTCTCATGCAATCCTGGCATAGGATTAACATTGGGGATTTCTTGAGACAATGGGATTTTCTGCACTTGGATTTTTTTCCTGACTTAAGCCTTGGCAACCTGGGGACATTTCAGTGACCCTGGGTCAAACTGAAATGGCCCTACCACCAAAAACATCCATAATTTTCCACAGGATTGCCAGGAATTCTCTGCTGTCCAAGGGTTAATAAGCAAAAAAAAATTTGGAGACAATAAATAAAAAGAGGCTCCCATCCTGTCCCAGGCTGATTTTTGTGTTTGATTTATTATATTCATCCTCTTTTTCTTTGTTTAGACACTCAGTCCTTGAATGAATGAACAGAACACTTTATTTGCCGCTTTTCAGCGTTCACAAGGTTCAATCAAGATTTCCACAAAGAAACCCTCTTCCCACCCAACCCAAATCCACTCAATGAAATTTAATCACTTCAGAGCAGGAAACAGAGCACAAATTGGGGTGGCTGGAATAACGTTGCCAGGCCCAACCTTATTGTCAGCCAGGAATAATGTTGTCAGGAATTAAACTGGTCGCGGAATATCTTCCTCAGGAATAACATGGTCCTTATGTTCTACCCAATATGTTGGGACTTGAGGAATTTTTTGCTGTATGAGGTTGGTCCAGTTGTGAAGTGCGGGAAGATTTTTTTCACGAGTTTGTTCCAGGATAGGCTTGACGACAGTAATCCAGTGTTGGAATTATGACGTTATTCCACCATCCCCACAAATTGATAACAAAAATAAAAGGAAATACACTCCATGAAATACAACTGGACATCTGACATGTTGTCATGCAGTCCTTGACAACAATAAGTTTATCTTCTGCTGTAGCCTACAAAAAATATACCTCAGAAGAATAAGAATTTTCTGTTTCATGAGTGTCGAATAATGTACAGTATTTTGAAGTTATTTTTTTCCTGATTCTAATGTGTCAGTTATTTTCAATTTCATTGATTCCTAATTTATTTTTCTTGGTGCTTCATATTATGACACAGGAATGGACAGATACAGCGTTCCAACGTGTCGACGCCTGGGGAAACCAGGAGACCAGTGTATCCCGAGAAACAAGCCCAGGAACGTAACCCTTTGGTACCCGAGGTACTCTGCAAAAACCGTTTCCGGTCTGGAATTGGATCTGACTGACGTTTACCGCATTTTGTGTCCTTGTGACACTGGTCGGAATTTGAGTTGCGATCGTCGAGACGGAGTCTGTGCTGACATCGAACTCACCACCAACAACCTGTTTTCTCATCATCGACGATGAGAGAGGATTTGTTTTTGAAAATTATTATTTGGGTGCTATGATTATTATTTTTATTTTCGTTTTTTTCGGGTGGTTATAAGAATGAAATAGATCTTTTTCAATGCTAGAAATCTCGTTCACGAAACTTTGCAAAATAATTCGAAACTCCGCAAAATAATTACAGTATTTCGGATCGCGCACGAATATTTTTTATATATATTTGATGATGGAAATTACCATAAAAAATTATATGGAACATTCGTAGTAAATGAACCTTGCAGAATCTTCTTCAAAGCGAATAATCAGGGTTTTTTAAAAACGATATTCAACTAGATTTACCTCGATTTCAACCACTGCAAAAAAATAATAATTTCGGTTTCAAAGTTGGTGTTTCGAATTTAGCAGTTCCTCAATTAACTACCGTATTTGAAACGAGGTGGATAAATTTCTTGCAGAATTTAGGAATTGTGACAAGATGATCGAATATTCCTCGTAAAATCTTGCAGGATTTTCAAAAACGCAAAAAAAAACTAGGGGTTATTCTTGAAGTTCATCAAACAATTTTTACTTGCATTTCATCTATATTTATACTGCATAAAAATTAATTTTGGTTGAATTTGGCATTTAGAATTCCGCTGTTCAATTTAACTAAAATATTTGAAATGAGATGAAGGGATTTCTGGTATGATGATGATGAGAGGAGTAATTTTGAAAAAATAATGGAATTTTTGTAGAAAAATCTGAAGGCCTCCTCAAAAGCAAAAAATTGGGTTATTTCTTGGACATTTTTCAAATTGATTTACTTCAATATCATCCACTGCAAAAAAATGGTCTTAGATTAAAAATTACCTCTTCAAAGTACGCATAGTTCAACTATAACGAAAGTTGAGAAAATATTGCTTTCATGACGATGATGATGATGATGGAAGAGTACAGAAATGTTGACGAAATTCTGGAATATTCCAAATGCAAAAATCTTGCAAGATTTTTTGAACGCGGAAAAATGGGGTTTTTAAAGTTCTTTTAACTAGAGTATAAACACTTGCATTTCACCAACATACTGCAAAAATTATTTTAGTTTTGAAGTTCCCATTTCAAAAAATTATGCACTTCAACCTCAACTATGGGGTATTTTCGAAATGAAATTCAGCTATTTATTGGATTGAAAATGTTTAATCCATTGAAGTAATTTCATCTTCAGGAAATTTTGACTTTACCTTGGAAAAAAAGCTTTAGAATCTCTTCATCGGTCTTGCAAATATATACCATGTGTAAAATTCAGGTAAAACGAGCACTACTCCCATGAATGATTTTCTATAAATATAATGATTTTCTTCAATTTTTCCGATTGGCATTCATTATTCGTTGCATAATGTACAGTATTCAAACACGGCATGTCTCGAAATCTTTCGAATTTTCTGTTTTAATTTTCAAGAGTGTGTGTGTTCCATATATTTTTCTATTTCTTTCGTGTTTCGAGGTGTTTGTGATGGTGCAGTTATTGACATGTAATGTGAATGTGAAAATATAAAGTGATGGTTATCAAGGAAAAGTTATTTTTCTTTCTTGCGACAGAAAACAATGAGCTTCAATATTATGTGCTTTTCTCGTGAGTCTGCGTTTTATTCATAAATGTACACGCAGAGAATATTTTTCTTACAATTGCTTGGGAAATAATTGGAACTTGAATAACCAGCTCACCTTCTTTATAAGGACATGGCGATCATTATCATTATTTATGATGAAGACTGTATCCCACAGATGGGCTTCCTATAGGAAATGTTGCCTCCAATTTTGCGGTGAGGTTCAATCTTCTCGGATTTCAATGTCATCCACAGCAGAAGAAAATCTTATTCTCCTTATTTTTTTGAAAAATGTAAAAGGTTTAACGCACAACAAACTTAGTTTGGCCGGAAAGTTTCGTTGAAGAAGAGTCTTTGTTTTGTGAGCAATTTTCTGCACACCCTCAAAATATTCAGACGCAAACCATCAAAAATAAATGAAACTTGTTCTTGAAAAATAAACCCACAATAAAGAACCATTCTCAACTAATAAAAGAATACTCATGTGCCAAAACTCATATAAAAAGAATACTCATATGTTTTGCAGAAAGATTCCTGATTTGATTGGCCACGCAGACGCGTTCGTTCAGCAGAAAAAAATTCATTCTGCTCAAAACCTTTTTTGCACTTCACAAAAAATTTGGACCATTATTTCTATAATTTTCCCATTTTTGTAGCTATTTTTGTGTGGCAAAAATGCGAGCATTTAATTCGACAGCTTATTTTATAAAACGGGTATTGCGAGTTTATTGAAGATTTTGTTGTTGTAGAAGATTGGCGAATTAAAAAAAAAATCCAGAGACGTTTTTTCCATATACAGAATTTCAGATGTCATTTTTGAGCTTTAATAATACCTAGACTAGAGGCTCAAATTAAACACTAGCTTCGTTTTCTGATGGAGACCCACTGATATTTATATTGAACAAAACCCATTTATTGAAAGAGAAGAATTTGAAGGATCATTCCCCATTGGATTTATTTTTGTGGTCATTTCTACATGAGCTTATCAACAGTGTTCCTAATCTTCTACTTAATTCGGGCTGTTGAGGACACTGTTCCAACGCAACAAGTTCAAGGTTTCTGGGCAGCCTGGCGCCATTGCGAGGATGTGTCCTGCAAGAGAGTGTGGGTATAATTATAGAGCTGTTTTTCCTTCCCATCACGGAGTACAACACTATTTTTCCTTTCTTGGACCCTCAGTAATATACACCAGCAGTTGTATTTATGAACAAACTGGTGGCATAAGCTAATTGCTGTTTGAATGTTCCATCACTCTCTATAGATCAGGCAATAAATGTTCTGACCATTCTCAGTCCAGGGCTGACACATATAATATATCTAGTTTTTTTTTAATATAGTACCTACAGTTCTACAAAAAAAATTCATCATTATCACCAGCTGTGGGCTCTCTCTAAGAAAATTCAAGAGACCAGAATAATAAGGACGTCGTGTAACGTGTGTCTGTGGCCTTTTGCACCTTGAATTAATTTGCCTACTTGAAAATGCATCAATTAACATTGCGTTGTCAGGATGGCCGAGCAGTCTAAGGTGCTGCGTTTAGGTCACAGTCTGGTTCTGCAGGCTTGGGTTCAAATCCCACTTCTGCAATTGTTTTTTTCATTTTTTTCATTATTTTGTCTGCACTGCGGATGCTCCACTACTTGATAGAGGGGAAGACATCTAACAATAATAGTTCACAAATTTACACCAGGAACTGAATGATTGGACTTTATCTTCAAGAGCATGCGAATATTCGGAATGTTTGAAATGAATTTAGAGAATAGTCTGCAAGATTTGCTGATTCTATTTATGAAATTGCCTCATCTCAATACTTGAAACTGGGTTTACTCCTCAGTGCTTTGAAACCAGGAACTTTACTACAGAAAAAGGAAATGCTGGTATAATTCCTTTGAACTTGAAGCTCGTGTCATATACAGAACTTTATTCGCGACCTGTTCTCGAACGATGACACTTATTCCCAGACGAGGTCATCATCAGACTTTATTTGTCATACATTCCCGGATATGTGGGTTCAATCAAGGCCTTATAGAAGCATCCAACATTGCATTCTGCATTTTATTCCATGCACAATTTCCCAGGAAGAAGACGAGAATTTCGTCAAGAAAGCCAGAAAACCCCGCAGTTCACATATGCCCTCTATATAATAAGTATACCATTTTACAGCATATGGAATGAAAATTGGGAGGATCAGCAAATGCGGCAAGTTTCACATTCCTTGAAGAAAAAAAGAATTGCTTTTCGTTGTGCGCAAAATTGCTCATTTTTTCCCCGACGGTTTTCTTCTTTTTCACAAATTTTCTTTTTTACGTTGATTTATGGATGTTTCCGGAAGAAGTTCTGGATTCCAGGGCATCGAAGTTTGCCTTATTGTGCTGGTCGTCCAATCGTCTTTGGCACTCATCCAACTTCACCATGCAAGTTGTTTCCTAAAAAAGAAAATGAAAAACCATGATTTTTGAATAAAATATAACAGTGGATAATGGACCTGATTGATTCCAATCAATGCTCTTCCAAGTTTTGAACATTCTAGAACAAACAAAGCTGTGAAAATAATTTGATGATCAAGTTTAAAATGTCGGTATAAATTGAATGTTTTGTATCTTCGAGACAGCAACAGGTTTTCTAAAAAATCATGATGTGTACATTTTTTTAAATGTGTGATATAAATAATAATTTACGCATTTTTCCAGAAAATCAGGGACCTGATGAAGAGTCAAATCACGCGGAGAGGTGACGGATTTTTTTACAGTTCAATTTGAGGGTTGTCCCAATGGGATGCGAACTCTAGACATTTTTTTACAGTAGATGCGATTTGCAAAAATTCATGACTTAGCCCATGATGTTTTAAAGTTCTGGGATTTATTTCGGATTTTTAAAAAAATTTTTCAATTTACTGCATGATGATAAGAGAAAACTTTCCATAGTTACACAGCCAGAGTTCTCTATATAAATACCCCTGTCACAGGGTGCTAAAATTTTTTCAGACCAGCTCAAAATTTGATTTTGGTGGCTGATTCAATGATTAACTAAAATGTAGAAAATATAATGGGTAAAACCACAAAATGTTCAATCTTTTAGGTAGCCTGATACATTTTTAGCACCCTGTAACATGGATGTATGGAGAACTCTGGCTGTATTGGGGACGTTTTCTCTTTTGATCATGCAGAAAGTTGAAAAACTTGTTTCAAAATCTGGAAAAAATTCCTAGAGCTTGAGAACATCATGGGTTATAAATGACTGTTTTTTGTTCAATCACACATGTCTAAAAATATCAGAGGTTGCGTCCAACTGGGACAACCCTCGTACTTCACCTATATACAGAGCGAGCTTATTGTGTCATAAATGGGGTTATTAAGTTATTTTTCGGGGATTTCTTTTAAAGAAATCACTTAATATGATGTACATAAATGTGGTTTTATGAAAATAAATTCGCAAACGATTATTCATTATTATTTTACCTGGAAGAGAAGAGATCCAATTGCTGGGTTCCTGAAGTCTTCCATTACTCGGTCGTCGGAGGTATTGATTTCATCGAAGGGGTATTCTTCGTTTGAGAAATGCCGATTGACAGACGAGGCCACTTGTTGGGGTCTGTTATTGAAGAGCCGGAAGCCGGAAGTTGAGGCTCGTTTCCCGTTTGTCCAGCCCCGACTGTAGTGGAATGTTTGGGCTTCTGTTGTTTCCAGTTGGCATGTGCACAAAACCAGAGCCACGACCATCAGAAGCCCTGTCATGGAGGCTCTTGGCATACTCAATTTGGCAGTCATGTTTTTTTTTTGGCTGTATTTTCTGAAGAAAAAAATGAAAATCAAGAATAATAAAATGGTGATTCGCTGGGTCAGGAATTAAAATAGCAGAATTTCCTTTTTTTCATTTTGGCAAAAAAACAAAAGAAGGTAAACAGGTCCTGTGATTGATTTTAGTCAGCATCAAAGGATCCCAGGAAAGTTCACGGAGAGATCCAATCAATTTTCACTAAATTATTATTTTTTAATTCTATTACTGTGAAAAAAACACGTTTTCAAAATCGTATTGGTCAAGTTTCAGTTGAAATTATAGGCCACGAATTAGGAATTTAAAATTACAGCTTAAAAAAATAGAGAATTCACGCTCAAGAAACTAAATTAATTTTGCAGGATGCATTATTTATAAATTGAATATTTATTAATGTACTGTTTTAAGTAAAGAGACCTTTTTCCGGAATAAAGTCAATGAAACTCAAAATATACCGATGAACGTAAAAGTCGTTTTCTTTATCTATTCCTGAGAAAAAAATCCCGCATTTCATCAGTGAAATTTGCTTCTTGAGAAAAAATTGAAAATTTCTTGATAACTTTAAAAACCTTTTTTGTTCCCGAGAGAATGAATTTTAAAAAAGACCGTTGAAGTATTCATTGAGCCTTCAAGAAAATGTTACAAGCATAATTTTTATTTCGAGCTGAAGAATGTTGCAATTTTAATCATGAGGTTCAATATCCCAAAATATCAAAGCATCATCAGTTTCATTTTTTAAAGCTTCTTCTAATAAAATTAATCCTTTGATGGTATTTTGTTCAACATTTTTTCAAATCTTGTAAAATTTCAATCCGATTCCCGCCCGTGAAGAGGAGTATTTTTTTCCAATGGGCACGAATTTTCAAGAAATTTCAATCGACGTGATTTTGCACTCGCATATTTGCTCAGACTTTTTCGAAGGCCTCCGCAAAAATTGTTGCTCATCATGAAAAAAAAAAACGCCTCACCTTTTATTAATACTCTGTTGCTGGAGTTTGATGATTGAATCAGTGTGGCCAAATTTCAAGGGAAAAATATTCGCGTTTTCCTTTTTTTCTCGTTTTATTATTAGCAGAGCTGGTTGAAGGCTTTTCAAGCAACTCGCCGAAACAAACTGAAGACTGGCCCAGGTTTCCTCTCCAGCTTAAATACCTTTTTGCTCCCCCAGTTCAGCAGCTGCTCACAACACAATAGAATCCCTTTGCACCGTCGCGGAAAATTCACCAACCAGGTTTTTTCACCCACGCAATTCAGGAAAATCCCTCAGCAGATGGGATCGAACCCCATATATAAATATACTTATTTATTTATACCAAGGGAAGCAACACCAAGCGAGGATTTATTCATGAGAAGCGATGAGAACATTCTTGAATTTCCCCATGCTGTGTTCCTTGGGCATGAAAATAAAAGCCCTTTCTACCAATTGAGCAAAAATGGGTTGCAAATGGTTGCCATTGTGGTTAAGAGGGGATTTGTTGGAAAACTGGGAACAATTTTTGAATTTTTGGGGAGAATTTAGACATGATCACCAAAGTCCTTTCCAAAATTTGGTGTGTGACATGTAAATCTGCTGGGATGGAATTTAAATGGCACATGTTTTGCTCAGCCTGTCAGAGGCTCCAAAGAGCCAAAGCCAAAGTTATGAGAAAATAAAGAAAGGCACAATAGGCCGTTTGCGGCCAAGACCAAGTCTCCTCAAACAGTGTAATTCAAAGAACAATCTGATAACAGTTTTTCACTTTCAGGAATTCAGAGATCACACTTTGGAAGACACTTTCAAGAACCAAATGCTGCGCAATTTGTCAGGGACCGTAAGGTGTTGCCCTTTACGCTCCAATCACTGCTACACCTGAAAATGCCACAAACACAGAAATCATTAATATTTCACAACCCTGTTTCCGACCACAAGAACTCACCTCAACTCGACAAACTCGACCTTGGAAACCAGTTTTCCAGTACTGGTCCCGGAACTCCGAAGCACCGAAGATTGTCACTCATCTTGAGATTCTCGTAGCGATTGGTTCCTGAAAGTGCTCTTGAAAAGTGTGTCTTCCTGATTCCTGAAAGTGAAAACAATTGTCAATTTGTGTTGCTGAATTACACCGTTGAGGAGACCTAGTCTCGGCCGCAAACGGCCTATTGTGCCTTCTTTTATTTCTTAAAACTTTTATTTCTTTGTTTTTGACTCTTTGGAGTCTCTGACAAAATTGGTGGCCAGTGAGTGTGTGCAAACACTGCTGGCAAAGTGTAAAACCCTACTCTTTCAATTTCGAAGTACACAAGTGCTTTACCAACAATTTCCTCAGTGCTAACTACAACTGTTAGTGTCTCGCTCGAACAAATTACGTGAATTACGCCTCACAAACATTCCTTGAACTCCTTACAACCAAAAACGCACCATGCCACGCCATCGACTCCTTGCAGGAAACTCGCTCACACGAACGTCTGGAATACCTCATCATACACCACCCATTGGAGAAATTTCTACCACAGACCCGTTACACTTACCTTCAACGTCAACATCACGTCGGGGAAACATCGACTCCTTGCAGGAAACTCGCTCACACGAACATCTGGAATACCTCATCATACACCACCCATTGGAGAAATTTCTACCACAGACCCGTTACACTTACCTTCAACGTCAACATCACGTCGGGGAAATACACGCCGCCTCGGTCGTCCACCACTCAGATTACCACCTTCAACACCTCCAG